CCTTCCTACACCCTTTTTACGCGATTTTGACTATTGCTGGGTGTAACAGGGGTGTACGAGAAGGCTTAACACCCTACATACACCCCTATCACACCCACAATTTGAAATATGCTCAGGAAATCGTGTTAGAAGGGTGTAGGCACTCGTCGCAACACCCCCCGTTCATAACGTGTAGGAAGTGTGTGATGGACTTATATGATTTCAAGGAGTTGGAGTTAATCACGTCGAAGAAACCCTTGCCTACGAGAGGAACCGGTAAGGACATCGTGACATCGATTGATCGTCATCGCGGTATAGCAGCATGTGAACCAAATCGAGGAGCTAGCTATGAAATGAGTCGGAAAAAAAATGTCGCCTGCATTAGCAAGCTCGAATTTTTATCTAATATGTGGTTTAAGCGGTGGATTTTATACTTTGTGCAATACCAAGACGTAGCTCAAATTGCTTGGAATTATGTAGCGATGCATCGGTCCGGCGTCCCGTCAAAACTTCAGGACATCAACGAGAACGTGCAAGAATGCGCGTCACATTAATCTTACACAAATCCGCTTTCCCCTCTGTTCGGTCAATATCATTGTCATCGACGCCGTTTTTCTTCACGCCAGAGGAGAGGCCATTTATTCCTACCGGTTTTTGCCCGAAAACCCGGCGCAAATGACGATGAGCAGTGCTCTATGCTTCCGTCCCCGGTCAAGTGGTTAACCGACGTCCACACACTTTTCACTCACACGGTGTGAGACGGGCGTAATGTTGATACTGTCGATTACACCCATGATTTTATAACCGTTCATGTTTATTGCTTTGATGAACCGGTTGCTGATGTACGGCGGTACCAACATCGAATATAATTAATCGCCACACAAAGGCGCGTATGATTAGGAAGTGCTAGAGAATGTTTTTTGCAACTCCGATCGAACTCTTCGTTTGAGAGGAGCCGAAAATTACGTGTCGCGCGTGCATCAGTTTTATCAGTTCAACTTCGATTTAAAAAATCACCTCTGCTCGCAAAAGGTGACCGAAGACGTGTAAATATACAGCCCAGGCAACACACCGTATGACGCCGATGGGTCCATATCACAAGAGCGAATGACATTTTAGCGAACGGCGACATTTGAGCGAATGGTCGTTTTAGCGAATAACGGGGGCGCGCGTTAACCCATCCGTCGCGCTGCGCTTTACGCCGCTTCGCGGCGACAGTCTGCGGCAACTCATTACAAAAAGTATGAACTCATTTGGCCCACCCGAAAACGCCGCTTCGCGGCGTCCGACTATTCGCTAAAGTGTCGTTCGATGAAACGTGGGCGTTCGCTAAAACGTCATTCGATCAAGTGAGTGCCTCCCGTCGCCGATACTGGATCTATTCGAAAAGATTGTGCCCACACCATTTTGGTTTAGCCGATATTTAACGAATGGGGTGAGTCGCGCCAACGATATCCTGACATAACGTACGCGACGCCGTTTTTAGTTGAGTTTTGAGACTATCCTGCGTGAATCGGCTATGCCGGAGAGGTATTTCTATTTCTTTGCCGCCTAAAATACGACGTTAAAAATAAAAGACTAGCCAAAACGGAATCTGCTTGCTTTTAGCCCGAGAAGTCTTTCTCGGGCAAAAAGCGAGCAAATTCCGCTTTGCTTAATCTTTTTATTCATTTTCTTTTTAACTGCGCTGAAGCTTGGAACAAACAGTGGCGCCTTTTTTTTGGGTAGCACAAACTCACCTGACTGAACCAATAAATACACTTATAAAACGCATAAAGAAAAAAAAGGAAAGAGAAAGAAGGAATTCAAACGCATAAACAAGACGACGATCAACGAGTTCTACCCAGAAAGCATAAGCCACTCCCCGGCTCCACACTTTTCGAAAGGAAACCGCCACTCGAACAACTTCAAAGTCCCACATACCCTCCCTGTGCAGCCCAGGAGGCAGCAGAGGGAGATTAGCAGCTTTGTCCACCCTCCTTTGACCTCTTATTCTGATAAGCCTCCCCACTTTCTTTTGTGTCCGTGTGGCTGTGAGCGAGTGCGAAGGCCGCTTCTAGCGAATCAGAGGTGTGGAGCGAAACACGTGACCGCTCTCCGTAGTACAAAAACGCTTGGACGAACATTTGTCACGCGACTCGCTCTGACACGCTGATGGCTTACTGGGGTCATAGCCTTCGCCGTTTGCCAGTTTATGGTGAGTTGTAGGGACCACGTAAATCCGGTTTCCAAAAAGCGTCCGTCAGTGTTCTCTTTTTCGTGCAAGCAGGTCCTGACGAGTTCCATTTCGCGACCGTGGTTTTTCGTCGTGAACGGCCGGAATACATCTATGCCAACTTTTTCACCTATTGGCCATTTATTTCGTCGGAGTCTACGGAATTATTGTGCTGTGTTTGTTGGACGAGTTTCGACAAAGAGCTGCTCATCGGCGGACGCGAGACTTCCGTTGAATGTGATCGACCGCCTTCATCCTCGACATTGTGTTTGCGGTGTTTCGTGCTGCCCGAATCGGACTGTGCATCTATCACAACAGATCGAGAGCTGCTCATCGGTGACCGCGAGGCTTCCGTTGAATGTGAGCGACCGCCTTCATCCCCGGCATAGTGTTTGCGAATTGTTCTGTGCTGCCCGAATCGGATTATGCATCTATCACGGATTACATGAGATCGCTCTTTTATTTGGAAGTACTTTGCAAGCATGCTTAAAAACATGAACTGCCGCTTGTGTCCCAAGCATCTTCCGGTCGTTCCGTTTTTCCAAGCCTGTTGAGTTTTGCTTATGTCACCAGTGCTAGAAAGAATAAATGTCGCAAGCAGGGTTCTCCCCAGAAATTTCTGAGAGGTGGACATTACCGGGGGGGGGGGGGGGGTTAGAAAGTAACACCCCTTTTTAGGGTGTTAGACATTAATCACACCCCTTTTTAGGGTGTTAGAAATCACACCCAAGACTAAGGGTGTTAGAAAAATCACACCTTTATTCTAGGGTGTGAGAATATTAGACCCCTATCTTAAGGTGCTAAGAATTACACCCATTTCCTAGGGTGTTCTGTTACACGAATAAGGGTGCTCCCCATAGGACAAGCCATTTACACCAATAAGGGTGTTAAAATTTTAAGTGTGCACGAAGGACGCCTCGCTATTCCTCAGACATGCGCAGCTGGAGCAGAGTAGCTAAAGCAACCGATCAAGAAAACCTACCCATCACAAAAATGCAGCGAAACGCGTGTCGACGTCCTCACAGAATACGCGGTGGGTTAATCTCTTTGATCTACAAAGCCCTTCAAGCGAATGACGCAGCTCATAACACTGTTTAAATCAAAAACGCGATCTGCGCAGGACAATATTTTCCTGTTCCTGTGCGTGCCTGGCGGGGTTTCTTATGAGTCCTGACAAATTACGAAGTTAAACTGGCCCAGTTTTCTAGCTTAGTACATGACCAAATCGTGTGCGACGTTTCGAGAATCGGCGTTGCACTAATTGGGTCCAAATTGATCTAAATTCATATTCGAATTATATGCATCACCTAATCATTTGCCCGCTTCGTACTAGGCAGATGAAGGTCATATGTATGTTAAAATAATTTAAACACTACCTGTTCACTTCATCTTGTGATATGTGACCGTTTGGTGAAAGGCCTCAACAGTTAATGTTGAGGCCTTTCATATAATGGCAAAGTTAATGGCTGCGAACATCGAAATCATTACGTGACATTAAAAGATAAATGATCTACTCACACAGCATACGGAAGCAGGCAATCTGATTATTATATATAAATATGAAAAATAATAGAACGTATATTCATGACCCATGTTTGCATACTTTTTTAAGTGTGGTACTTTATTATATTGCAGGTTCCAGGAGAAAGATAAACTCATCCGACGGTCCTATTCTCTACAGAGGACGTCTTCTATTCTGCAGCTGTCCAAGTCCAGATGGAGGACCTGTCGGTGTATGTTGGCAACGTCATCCATGGCTTCAGCCTCATAATCTATTGGACTTTGGATATCCAATATGCAACGGGGATCAAGACCGCCTTGGCTCTCTTTGAACGTACGATCGGGCTCAAAGAAACACCACTGGAAAGGGTTGCCCTGAAGCTTCTTGGCAGGCTACAAGCTTTTACTAATTATTTTTTTAAGCTTTTGACCTGTCTCGAGTTTTTGATTTTACAATAAAAACGTGGTTGACAATATTGTTGGCTGACATGACTGGCATAACTTTTTTTTTAATGTCTGGATTTTGTTTCTAGAAGTTTTCAGTTAAATTTTGATGCCGGCACGTTGCCCGTGGGATTATTCTCTCATCCCTTAAAACCTCCTCAAAGTGCCTCCTTAAAGAACTTGACACACAAAGAATTCAGAACTCTCTCGTATGACAGCTGGCCTTAGGAATCATCGCCCCTCCAGCACACCTGAACAAGCCAGTTAGCTGAGTCTTGGGGTCTGAAAAAGGGCCCTCACTATTTGGGGCTCCGCGAGACCCATGGTGTACAAAAGCGACCCCAAAAGTGGGGAGTCGCGGAAAACCTCGGGGGTTGTGTATAGTGTCCGACAACACTCGCAATTAGTGGAATCACGCGAGTCTCTAGGTGTAACAACGGGCACCACAAAGCACCCAATTTAGGGGGGATCAAGTGATTCCCTGAGAGTTGTAAGCGGTACTAAATAATGCCTGGATTTACGCGTGTCACATGAGTATCTGGGTGTAACAAAAGGCGTCAAAAAGCACCCTATTCAGAAGGGATCCGTTGACTCCCTGAGAGTTGAAAATGGTTTCAAATAATTCCTCTAATTAGCAGTGTAATATAGGTACCTGAATGTAACAGACGGCGCCAAACAGCACCCGAAGTAAGGGGTGTCGGTTGAGGCCCGTGGACTTTGAGGGGGGTGCTAAGTGATCCCGTATACCTGGGGAGTACTTGAAATCCCCAACTTCAGAGGATACCACAAACACCCCAGGGGAGTCACATATGGGACACGGCCTAACTCCCCTGAGGGGAGTACCCGTATACACCCTTTTTTCTTAGAGTGTGGAGTGGGCGTTCTGTACGACCAGGGTGGTGAAGTAGTGCTCACTCGGCAATATGATTGGGTGTTTCACATTGTCCGATGCTGGCAGCATCTGAAGCCGGCCTCCAACCCGCATGATATTGTCTTTATCCAAAAATGGACTCATCTCTGCTAGAGACGATTGTTTGTGAACATTTTCTTTCTTCGAGAGACATTTTATCTCGTCTGAGTAAGTACTGTTCTGAACGTTGTTGATCCAGTATAGTTCGGCCACAGTGGTTTCCTCGGCACTCAGTGGTCCATTTGACGGTTTGCCATTTCGGCAGTTCCTCAGAAATCGAAGGCACCACGCCGTCACTCTTAAAGCCCGATGGAGTTCGCTGTACTTTGTCAGATCCAACAGCGGTTCAGGTGGTGTTGTTTGCAATATCACATGAACTGCTTTTCTCTCTTCTTTCAACGAGTCAGTCTCTGCTTCGTTACTCGACCTCAAATCAGGCCATTCATTTTCGTTTTCAGTCAACCATTTTGGTCCTGACCACCATAAATCACTCGACACCAGTCGAGAACCTGTGATGCCACGGGTAAGCAAATCCGCTGGATTGTCACTTCCCGGACAGTACCTCCAATGAGAAGGATCGGTGTCCCTTTGTGTTTCTGCAACTCGGTTGGACACGAAAGTCTTCCACTTGCTGGGGTCGCTCTTGATCCATGCAAGTGTGATGAGAGAATCCGTCCACAACGTATAGTCATACGGAATGCATGGGATGGTCTTCTCAAGATATTTGTGGAGTCTCGATGCGATGACGGCTCCCATAAGTTCCAGGCGAGGAAGAGTTTGTTTCTTGATTGGAGCAACCCGTACTTTTGCCAATAAAAGTGTAGGTTGTTCAGGTGGCGAGGACTTCGTTGTTACGTACACTGTAGCTCCATAGGCAGTTGGGCTTGCGTCGCAGAAAATATGAATCTGGGTGTCCTTGCCCTTTCCTGCTTGGAATACGAATCTGGGGATGACGAGTGCATCCATCTTTGGCAGGTCACCACACCATTCGTGCCATTCGTTGTTCAGATCCTCGGGTAGAGCACTGTCCCAAGTGATTCCTCTCGCCCATAGTTTCTGAAACAGTGTCTTCACACGGATTGTGAAGGGCGACAAGACTCCCAGGGGATCGAAAATCCTAGACGCTGCTTGTAGAACAAATCGCTTAGTGCCATCATGCAGCTCTAGGAATTTTTGTAAAATTGGCAACGCAAACTTCAAAACATCCTTCTCTGGATCCCAGACAATTCCCAGAACCTTCATTGTTCTTTGTTCAAGGATAGGCGTAGTGTTTTCTGGATTTGCCTCTTCTTGAAGTAGCACATCTCTCAGCGCTTGTGAATTCGTCGTCCACTTTCGGAGAGTCATTCCTGCGTTCTGCATAATAGATTTGGCGTCATGGTACAACTTGATGGCTTCCTCCTCGGTAGCTGTGCCAGTAACCAAGTCGTCCACGTAGAAGGAGTTACGAAGTACGTCAGCCACTTCCTCCTTTTCAGTCGGCAGATTTTTCAGGTGTTGGAGGATCGTAGCCGTCAGAAGAAATGGACTACAGGTTGCACCAAAAGGAACCCTCTTTATCCTCCATGTCTGTACCTCTTCATCTTTAAAGGTCGAAGATGGTAGATCTTTAAACCAGAGAAAACGGAATGCATCTCTGTCCTTTTCTGCTACAGATATTTGCAGAAATGCCTTCTGGATGTCGGAGGTTATGGCGAAGCGGCTCACCCGAAATCGCAGCAATATTCCAAGAAGGTCTTGATACAGGTTGTCTCCTTTCTCTAAACATTCGTTTAGAGACTTGCACCCAGCTGCGTGCGAGGATGCATCGAAAACAACTCGAAGTCGTGTCGTCAGTGCATTTTCTCTGATGACTTCGCGATGTGGCATGTAAAATAGTCTGCCTTCTTCACCAGTTGTCTCGTTCAGTACCACTTCAGCGTGACCCGCTATCAATACTCTCTGATTGCTTCGTCGTAATGAAGTACTAGAGAGTCAGTTCTGTAGAGTCGACCTACTAGTTTCCTCAGTCTCGTCATCGCTACTTGCTTGTTGTCCTTAAGGACACCTATATTGTCCTCCCATGGTAGAGCCACTTCGTACTGTGTGCCAGACCGGCGAATGTTCTGCTCGAAATGGCGCATCACTTGGCTTGTTTCGGACATCTGGTCTTCTGAATCTGTGATTCCCAGGCTTTCTAACTCCCAGAATGATCGGAGAACGCCTTCAACCTGTTCTGTACCGGTGATCTGCAGGACACAGACGACCAAGCTCGAGTGGGTTTTTTGCGACTTCAGGATGGATGTCCGTCCTTGGAAGGTCCAACCAAGCTTGGTGTTTAATGCAACAAGGGTGCTGCAGGTCTTACTCCGAGTGACTTCACCAGTCATAAAGCCATACATTTGGTCAGAGCCAATCAAAATACTGATGCCTGGTTGTGCGACAACCGCTGGAAACATGAGGCGATCGGCAATAAACTTTCCATTTTTCTCCATGTCAGCTACGAAGACTGAATCCGTCGTTAAGGTAGCTATGTCTTGACATATCACTGGAATTTCGATCGCTTCGATCTTGCATCCGTCCATGTTGAATTGGCTTCTAAGTTCAAGCTCCACTACACGACGCTTCTTGCACTGTTGAGTTGAAGCACAAGCAAACGTGTTGAGCACCATCTTGGTGTAGCCAACGCACTTAAGCTGAAGGTGTCTTGACAGATCCTCGGTGACAAACGTCTGTTGGCTGCCTCCGTCGATAACACCTCTAACATACCTACATGAGGTACCGCTGACAGCCCATGCCCGGAAGGTTTGCAGAAGAACCGCTCCGGACTCTCTGAATTCTCGGCGAATTGATGTAGTACAAACCGTCATGCAGTTTTGTGTGTCCGATTTACCTTCTTTAGCTTTGATCCGCGTCGGGTCACACATGGACTTAGCGTGTCTTCCACCGCATGTGGCACAGCTGATCTTTCGTCTGCAGTCTCTTGCTCGATGGCCACTGAGAGTGCATCTGAAGCATCTCATCTCTTTTGTCAAACGCTGTTTCTTTTGGTCCAGGGGAAGAGAGGAAGAACAGTCTGCAGAACTATGGCTTGTTCCGTTGCAGAAACAGCCTCTCGTTTTATGTGGTGAGGGTCTGTTGTAGAGCACCGATGAGGTCGGTCTAGACGATTCACGTCGAGCTATGTTGTCCTCATATCTTGTGGTCTTTGTGTTCTTCGTTTCTGTGATCTTAAACTCGCTTTTCTCCCGACTTTCGACTTCGATAGCTAGAAAATCAAGGAGTCGATCCAGTTCTGAGCGGTCAGGCTGGCTGCTTGGGCCAGGCATGGCAGTTGCCTCAGACAAATGAGCGGTTCTGTGGTAGTTCACGACGATGTCACGTGGAAGAGCTCGCATCAAAATATCGCAGAGCATCGACGAAAAACTTGACTTATTCACACCCAATGTCTGGAGGCCTCGTATATTGATTTGCACCTGGTCGAACATCGTTCGTAGACCTGAGGTATCGTTGGGTGACTTGACAGGTGAAATCAGCCTCAGACTGGAGGAATATTCCTGCTCCAATCGTTTCTTGTCTCCAAAACGGCGATTGAGGATCTCAATTGCATCCGCGTAGCAAGTCTCTGTCCTTGGTAATCCAGCCACAGCTGCTTCCGCTTCTCCGCCCAAGTACATTCGAAGGTAGCCGAACTTTTCGCTGGTGGACAGACTGGCATTCTTGTGAATTGTTTTATCGAACTGTTCCCAGAACGCTGACCACTTTGATATTTCACCCTTGAATGGCGTAATGGTGAGCTTCGGTAACCTAGTTCCAGCTTGTCTGCTGCCTTGAGTGTCGTTCGGGTGACGACTAGGTTCCATAGAGGCCCCTCGAGACGATATCTCATCTAGGAGATCTTTTCTGCATTGGAGGGCACTGATGGTGGCAGTCGCTTCATCTTCGTATTGGACGACTGCCTGAAATTCGGTTTCGAACGAACCATCTGGTATGTGTCCCTCAAACTCTTCGTTCAACCTCCTGAGCTCATAGTTATTGGCGCGCAATCTTTCGGCCACGGTCGTAATCTGGCTAATCGTTGAATCTTGATTTTGTAAGAGAGCACTTGCCTCGTTGATGAGTCTTGTGTTTTGCGCGCGTCGGGTCGTTCTTTTAGTCTTCAGCCTTTCCATGGGGATCCACTGCGCTGCCGAGTCTTCTCCTGCGATGTCCCGGACCTTGACTCCCGGGTTTCGGCACCAAAATGTTGATATGAAGACCCAGGAACAGCGGCAGCTTCACAAAACTGAAGAGCTTTAATTCCGACGTGCGTTCGATGCGAAAAAAAGAAATGGTAGTAAAAAAAAAAATTGAACGAGCTCTACGCTCGCCGTCCACGAGCGCAGGCCCCGATCTCGTGTGCAAGCTTGCCATTGTGCTGCTCAACACTGCTTCGCTGGTACTCGACCAGTTTGATCTATTTTCAACATCACTTTTTGCAGAGCCAGACAGGCATGAAGGGAGTCATGATGCAAGTAAAACTGTATGTCGACTTTCTAGTCGTCACCCCACACGTAAATATTGAGACTTGCTCTTTTTCGGTGGTACGCTTGAATCTCGTCAGGAAGGATAACAGTCCAGTTCTCAGCAAAGTTGAAGCGGAAGACAATGCTACCACGCTGCGCGCACTGCTTTTCTTCGTAGATGGCTTTGCCTTGCGTCTGTCTGACATGGTTGTGAATGATCCACCTTGAGACCGACACACGATGCTCTTCCAGATAAGTGACCGGATCTAAAGTCTTTTCTACGAGCTCGCCTGACTCCCATGCTGCCAAACCTATTTCTTCACTCTAGGAAATGTTGAGTTTTTCGAGTGTGAGAGACTGGCTTTTCGGACAATGATTACATTTGCCTAAAAGGCACTGGCGCGATGGCGGGTTGCAAATTGTCGAGATCTGGCTGCCCTCCCCCGCGCCGACCCTCCGGACCCTAATTTCCGGCCTCCGAGATACATCATGCCTCGGGGGAGCGGCCATGGCCTCGCGTACCAGAGATCCGGGTACGGCGCTCCTAGGCCAACTGACGTCACGCGACTGGCTTTCCAAGACAAAGGGGCGAAGGCTTGAAAAGGGGAAGCCGGACAAAGGAAGGCTCTCTCTTGGACGGCAGCGCTCTTGGACGGTGACGCTCTCTCGAACGGTGGGACACGGAGACAGCGTGCGGCGGGGACAAGGAGGCGAGGACGCTGGCGCGGGATTTGGCGGGAGACGGACGCAGGCGCGGGGAAAGTGCGGGCAAGTCGTCGAGTGGCGGACTCAACAAACGGACCGGACGGCGACCTTGGACGACGACGTCCCCATGACGCGGAGTGAACGACCACCGCTGGGACTTGGAGCAGCTGGAGCGGCAGCGGACTCTACCCCGGCCTCGCTGATGACCGTCCCCCGATCCCGAAACCCCCAAGGCAATAAGTGAGTGAATAAACCCGTTTGCCGAGAGCGAAGTATTGCTGTGTCATATTCATCCGGAGACAGGGTTTGAGGGAATCGGATCCAGAAGCCCGCAAAATCAATGCCGAGTTCAATTCCGCTGCGTCAAGTTGTGAGCCAGATGCGTTCTGTAGAGAGGCGACACAGAGGTTATAGTTTGCGCAGTACACACAAACGCAGGCTTCTTGTTGGGGATTGCATTTCACCCATCGGGGTCGCAGGGAGTAAAACTTCGTCAGTCCGATGCCGGAGTCGGGGTGGTCGCTTTTATATACACGAAACGCTTCCCTGATTAACCGTGTCATAAAACGTTTTGGCTTGAGCGTTTCCTGGCCATCGAGCACAACGGAAATGACGTCCTTCTGATTGGGGCTCTGCCTAAATAATTCTAACTCGTCTTCATGTAGTACTCAACCGCTGTAGATATGTTTTCAGAGCTCACCTTACACCTTGTATAGGGATCGGGTACATACCTTACGCCGTGGTTCTCCCTCAGCTTCCGGAACCTATTATTGATTTTGATCTATACCCCTGGGATGATCTTCTGAACTTCGTTTCTTGTCAAGGTTAAAGGCAGGAGGGCCAGCAATTGACAGCGTTCCCGGGGAGAGGCTGTGGTCGCGGAGGCACGGCAAATGCTTTCCGCCCACTCCGTGCATGTGGAGCACTTTTGCTCCGACGACCCCGATGCCACGTTTTCATCGTACGCAAGACGCATCCTGGAGCGCAAATTCTCATTCACAAACTGCTCTAACTCTGTCTGTTTCCTCTTTACATAGGCACGCCTGTCTCGACTTCTCACTTCACTTGGTGGTCTCAGTGTTGACATAAACGTTGAACGTACGCTGCGGTTGAGGTCTTCAATGGCCTCCTCAGGAAGCCTAAAGCTGTCAACGCCCAACTCTGAGCTTCGCAAAGTCATTTGCTTGGTGAAATGCGTAAAAACATTGTAGCACAGCTAGTCCAGCTTGCCATGGAGCTGCCAGACGGGAGAATTCGCTTCAAACAGTCCACACCAAGCTCTCTCACACTGCGAAAATTTCGCTGCATCAGGATCCCATTTTTGTGCTTTGCAAGGTAATCTGCGCAAAACACTCCCTCGAAGTAGTATTGTCGCCATAACTAGTTCATTATGAATAAAAAGTCAGCATGAAGTAAAGGAACGAAATTGCGGGTTGAAACAATGGCTGAGCTGGAGTAACGCAGGTTAGTGACAAGTTGAAACAGGGAGGCTCTTTCATTCCATGTACACAGTTATACACAGAAGTACACAAATGACTCTCTCAACGAAATTCCATTCGCCGCAAAGAAAGAGAGAGGGAAAGTCTCTAGGCAAAGGAAATAGGCAGCGGCGAAACTATTCAGGGTCGAATGCAGATATCTATATTTCTTGCTGAAAGGCGTCTTTGAGGCACACCGTTACTCGTATCGGTTCCCCAAACGAAACGCCACCTTTTCGCTATCTGCCCAAAACACTACTTCCCACTAATTCCTTTTACGTTGAGAATTGTCAACATCCAAACAGATCCTAATCACCGCCGTCCAACTTGGCAGCAACGTTTATTGTATCCCAACATTTTGGTAGACCCCAGACGGAGGACGAAAAGGGCAACACACACAAAGATCTCTAACTCAGCGTCGAATGATTATCTTCCCTTCCAGTTTTTAGGAAGACCCAACAACCGACCTTCAGACGCCTGGTAAATAGCCTCGCCTCCCCCCCTCCTCCTCCCCCCCCCCCCTTTTCATGGCCCACCGTCTCTGTTACAACAACAGTTTTTTTCTTGAGTTTTTTTTTTCCTTAGTAATGGATTCAGCTCGGTAGAGGAGCTGTATCTATTACAACATCAATATAATCCAACATGTTGTTAATGAATATTAACCCACAAATAGAGTAGGATGACTGGTAAAAATTAAAAACAAATTGAGAACATTTTTTTTAATGTCGCCCTTAAAATATTTTTATTTTGGTGCTTGTTTCGTGTTTCCTTGCCAAAATCTCCCCAAACCCGCGCATAAATAAATTTGAATATTAGTGAGTTTACTTCCATTTATAAGTAGCGTATTGAATTAAAATAAAACATTTCTGACTAAATTTTTCCTAAGATACAGGCCTGCAAAGTTGGGGGAAAACAGTCAAGCAGCTGAAATTGATGTTTTCATATTTTTTAAGAAATAATGAACAATAGCAATATTTCTTTCGTACTGTTAAGAACACATAGGTTGTGCCAAAAATTATGAAACTCACCTAAGCAGTATACCTTCCGTTATTAATCACCAAATTTTACCCCTCCGGCTACGCAAGGAAATGCGACTTTCCACCTCTACGTGATGTACGATTTTTTTGCTTCCCATATTTTTTTTTTGTGAGAATAATTATGATTCTGTTTATTACGGACATCGGGAAATAACATATAAAATTATGAAGCAAATTAAAAAGGTTGACCAGCCATCCTCTTTTCGATCGCATCGGAAATCCCCCTGTATATGTTTTGTACTATATTCTATATAATGCGCAATTTATTATAACGTGCAAAAGATATGACAAACTATATTACTTGCTATACTCGAATACCAAAAATAAAAATACTCTTCTCTCAAAGTAAGAAGGCGCAATAACTGCGTCGCACCACAGGGACACACCGTGCCGAGCTTCGGATAAGGGTCTCGGTAGAGGAGCTGTATCGATTACACCATCAATATAATGCAACATGTTCTTAATGAATATTAATCCTCACATAGAGTATAATTACTAGTCAGTGTTTAAAAAAAGATAGAGAACATTTTTTTAGTCGCCCTTAGAACTATTTTTATTTTGGTGCTTGTTTCGTGTTTGTTTGCCAAAATCTCCCCAGACCGCGCATAAATAAATTTGAATTTTAGTTAATTTACTTCCATTTATGAGTAGCGTATTGAATCAAAATATGACGTTTCTGACTAAATTATTTTCTAAGATACTGCCCTGCAAAGTTGGGGAAAAACGGTCAAGCAGCAGAAATCGATGGTTTTCATAATTTTTTTTAAACATAATAAACAATAACAATATTTCTTTCGTACTGCTAAGAACACATAGATAGTGCCCAAAAATTATGAAACTGACCTAAGAAGTATACCTTCCGTTATTAATCACCAAATTTGACCCCTCCAGCTACGCAAGCAAATGCGACTTTCAACCTCTACGTGATGTACGATTTTTTAGCGTCCGACATTCTTTTTCCTGGGTGAGAATAATTATAATTTTGTTTATTTTGGACATCGAGAAATCACCGTGCAAGTAATCTACTAAGATAAGTATAAAATAATTGCCAACGATTATGTCCCTTTGGTGGTTGTTTTGCTGACTCATTTCCGTTAGTCGCAGAATCATCGCACCGAAATAGGCACCGACAAAAGCCTGTGAAGCAAGTATCAGCAAGTGCTGTTGCGGCGTCCGTTTTGCACCTAGCAGACGACAAGGAGAAAGTGTAACTAGAACCTGGAAGATTAATTCCGTCGCGCAGTGTAGGTGGTGTACACACGGTGTTTTCCATTGCCCCTGCTACACTCTAAGGAAAAGTGAGCACCCCCCTAGTAATCATGCGTTTTGACGGCTGTAACTACCCCACAGGCTTACTTAACTACCCACTGGGCTCGAGCCATTGAGCGTTACCACCCTGTTGGCAAGTGAGAAGCATGGGGTCGTCACGTCTTATAAACTCTTGAATTGAACGTTCAAGTACATGCAGCCGTTAAATAGTAAAACTCACTTCAAAAATCTCAAAAAGTACTTGAAACTTGTTATCTTTGTGCCGTTGGTTACCATTTATTCAAACTTGAACCGGTCGAAACAGGCGTGTGGCTCAGTTCGCCTAAACTGGCAGAAAACAAACATGCCAGAAAACAAACATGTACAGGCAACCTTGGTAGGCACCTACTAAAACCCGAGGCAGATAAAAAGCATCGCGGTTGTCCGTTTTGGTTCCATCGCGGGTTTTACCATGTACTGCTAGTAAACAGTTGGCAGCTGGCGTCGTGCTCGGGGAATTTAACCAAATCTTTAGAAAAGCATAGGAAGCTACGCACAGGCGTGAGTTGACTGGAATGTTCGCCGGGCGAGATACTCTTGTCATCTTTTATTGTACGGTTCAGTAAAGAGCGTGACCTCATTAAAGGTGTGATCGGTCAGTTCTGCGTGCAGATCAGTTGCAAATGGCCCCCTCGCTTCCGCCGAACTTGCACGCCTGTCATGCCCAGTTTTTTTTGCTTTCAAGTGCAGTGAAGTATTATTCATTGAACACCACGACTGAGGCCGGACAGGACGAACGTACACAGATATCTGGGGTCATGCCTGTGTATTTCAGTATTTCTCTGTCTTGGGATATTTGATTCGCCTTCACTGGCTCATTTGGCACATTTCATCGAGCATACTCGATAAAAAATGCTTCAAACAAGTGTGTCATCCAAGGTGGAGTACTTTGAAGGGGACTAGGATTTCAGGCCTTTCGGCACGCGTTCCTTTTACCTATATAAAGGATTCCAAGTATATTTCCAAAAATAAGGCGTTGGCAAACATACACGTGCTATTCGGTATAGATTTTTTTTTTTTTTTTTTAGAAAAAGTACTGCTGGAGATGTCAGCAGGTGCAGCGCAGAGAACTATATTCTCGGCGTTCTTTGATGCTTGAGGCCGGTTCAGACACTTGAGTTTGAATGCGTTTGACAGCGTTGCGTCAAGAACCGAAAGCGACTCACCGGCACATCTGTGCTTCGTATGAAGCGTGGAATCCAATTCAAGGAATCGTCTTGGCACGCGATATAAGCAGCTGGGATGCCCTGGTTTCTCGCTGCCGCAACGCAGTCAAACGCAGTCAAACGCAACTGTCTGAACCAGGCTAAACGCAACTGTCTGAACCAGGATTCAGATAATTTAGCATACGTATTTCGCGTTCGCTGTAGGTGAAGGCATGGGCCCCTCTTGGCGCGAGCGCGAGCGCACAGAACGCATATTTGAAAGACACGTGCTTGAGCAGAAACAATTGTAGCGAAAAGAAGAAAACTGAAACAACGCTTTGGGGAGGACCGGCGGACGGGCTTCGCTAGAATCACCTGCGCGCGCTCAGTGTACTCAACATTTACTCAACCGCCGCTGAAGTCACTCGGATATGTAAAAAGAGAAAAGAAAATGCATCAGCGTGTTCAGAAAGTTATCATAGACGAAATTGGTTCAGATAATTAATACAGTTAATTAAACAAGCTTCTTTATACTTAAAGTGTAGGCAAGCGAGAAAACGAAACTGATCAAAACGTGGCGTGTAGCGACTATTCAATTTGATTTATAAGCTGCAGTTCACTTTTTCAATGGATTACATAAGAGATACGAGCGCTTTCCAAAGGGCAGTAGAGGAAAATAATATATACGGATAAATCTTGCACAGTTTTTTCGTATTTATGCAAAATATGACAGTGGTCACCATCCTAATCGGTCACAGAAAATACAGCAGTATATAAGCTGGTCGTGTATATAGGTGTATAGTGTCAATATCGCATGCTCAACAAAGAAAAAAGAAATCAATATCGTACCTTGTGCTGTTTGTGACCGCGTTCATGTATAGTTTTGTATGGTGTCTGCACGTCGCGTATGTGTGATGTGTGGTGTGGAATAAGTAGTACCGGCATGTCAGGCGAGGCGCTGAGAGCAAAGACTGCAGTTTGGTTTCTTTTTTCTTAGTTTGAGCGCTATCCGTTAGGTGGCGCGTGTCGCCGCCCACTTCAAGGAGTCGCGCGTTTATGTGTCTACTTATTTGAGTGAAAAGCATGGAGGCGCTCCATAGCTCCACGGAGCAACCACAAAGGGTTCGGTTCTCGGCCGCTCGTCCCAGTGCGATCAGTGGATCAGTCCCATAGCCAGTGAATGGGTGTTCCGTGCGGTGAATAGTGCGTGCACAGACGCGGTGGGGATAACCAGGGATTTGAAATTGGATAACGAATGCTAACAGGTGAGCAGGAGCGTAGAACGATCGAAACCGACGCCGCTTGAATCGGTGATGCCTCGCCTCCCCGCTGTCAACCGAAAACGCCGGATCACTTGCAGCAAGCACAGCGAGCAGATTCTCTGTTCAATAAAGACATCATTTCATTTGTCGCCATACGATTCCTTCTTGGAATGTTTTCTGGCCGCGAAGTAAATGCAGCCTGATCGCGCGAAAGCAGACAAGCCCCCTCGAATGCCCCCCCTCACATCGCCGCCCCTTCTCGTAATAGGTGCGGTGCCGGTGCTTCGAGGCGCGTTTTGGAGGGTTTTAGTGCGCACGGAAGGCAGCGAACGGGGATGCGCACTTGAGAATCGTATTTTAGCAAAAAGCAGTCCAGCTCGCTAGGCCTTACTCGTATTGCTCCACTGTCGCTTGCCAGCCGCCATGTTGCTTTTGAGGGTGATCACTGTGACAACCTGTTGATTTCATGCCGCGTGACTACGCATGGGGTCGTTAGTATTACTAAGGGGGGTTAGCGATATCTGTGACGGCTTCTGACTACCCCAAATGTATTACCCTACGACTACCCTTTTGTTGAGAGTGTATGTGGCCTGTTGGTACGGGACGGCCACAGCTGCCCTTGTTGTATAGCTAATAATTTCAACTACTGTACAATCGCATTAGGTTGTAGGAAACCCTTTTTTATTAACACTCCTAAATGTATGCTCCGTTTCAATATAAATACAACCTAGTCTGTGCCACAGTTTGATTGAGCCTATCAAGCAGCAGCCCATCACGGCGTTCGTTGTCTTTGCGCCTTTGCTATCAGCGGCTAAATCATTCTCGCAGGGAAAAAACAAAAGCCCAAGATTAAGGCGCATTCGCCGGCTATGATTGAGGAAATCAAATGTAAAACACGACGAGCGCCATGACGATGCAACTTTGGCGAAATTTGATGGGCTCTACCGAATTGTAGCTTCGGCTCCTGTTTCAGTGTAGGCTCGTGCTCCACCGTACAGTCGACGACCGCTTTGCGAATCCGTTGCGCTTTTCGCCAGTTAATTATTTCCTGTTCCACAAATGTAGCGGCGGATGAGCTTCACTAAACTGCGCATGCCCACAACCATATGTTTTAATATATATATGTACGAAAGCAGGTGTAACTTTGAGCGAGCCAGAATTGATGTAAAAGCGCACTTTAGACGGGGCTTTTTACACAACCACTGGTCATCGTGCTCACCCGTCACTAGTGAAAATGGCAACTCTTGTGCCCCGAACTACGAACAAGCTTGCTCACAGCAAAAAGCCGCCTATCACCATGGATCCTGATTTCTACGTTAAAAACAATGGCTATCAGCGGAAATTTAACCTCCAGGTTCTGGAATTAATGCGAGGCTCGTTCACAGATGAGACCAAGGAGCAACAGTTTCTCGACCTGGGTTGCGGCACCGGAGACTTCACCCGCGACCAGCTCCTCCCTCTCTGGCCAGACGTCGGGAGGATTGTGGCGGTCGACGTGTCCCAGGACATGGTGGAACACGCCAAGAGGGAGTTTGCCCACCCGAAGATCTGCTACGATGTCTTGGACATTGGAGGGAGCGGGGTGGCTGACTTTGTCGGGCGATATGGTCAGTTCGATCGTGTCTATTCCTTCTTTTGCCTACACTGGATCGGGAATCAAGAAAGGGCTTTCAAGAACATCGCCGACTTGATGAGACCAGGTGGTGAATGTCTGCTTAACTTCCCTGCGTCCGTAAGCTTTATGCGCTTGGGAAGAAAACTCTTAACTTTGGATCACTGGCAAAAATACCGAACGGTAAGATGATATTTGCCTTTATCACCAGATATATTTTGGGAGATTTTTCTTTTCCGAAAAAACCAAGTAGTGAATGAAATCACACTTGGTTCATTTCTTGCTAAACATAACGCCTGAGTGGGTTGACTTGAATGCAAAATGCCATGAGGTGTCCCCACTGCATTTTTCCATCAGCCAATAAGAGCTCGGCGTTCTGCATCATCGCTACCCCCAGAGGAATTTGCGCTGCGCATAGCTTTTTATTTTTCCTTTCCTCGCTCTTCTGGAACGTTTCGCTAGAATGTAGGAACTGATCGTGGATCTTTGGCTAGAATATTCTCGATAGCATAAGCCATGTAAAATAATATGCAGGTGGTAGCATTGGGATAGTCGTACCTTTGTCGTCAAGCAGCATGTAAGGCGCCTTTCCTATTTTATTTTGAGGCACAAGTGCGCCCAAGTGTTTATTTTCATTTGTACATTCATCAACTGGATTTGTCCATTGGTCACGGGACGTCAATTTTCCCTCTGAATGTAACGAAGAAACTCAATTGGTGCATAAGTCACGTGTTTTAAGTTCCCCCGCTAAATTTAGCAGGGAAGCTGCGCTTCGTTTATTGTTAAACATGTTTTTTCTTTAACTTTTTTTTTTCTGTGGGGGGGGGGGGGTTGAGGGGAGTAGACAGCCCGTACGCCTACAGAAAGGTGCACCTTTTGTCAGATTCACCCATTATAACGAAAAGAAAGTATTAAAGCATGTGTATGTTACACAAAATATTCTGGGGGTAAAAAAAGTGGTGGGAGAGGAAAATCAAATAGGATCGGATGCGAATATGAACACAAAAAAAATATGATTTCTAAAATTATAGAAAAAATGGGATACGATATAGCTAGAACAACAATACTAACTAACAAATTTCAAATCTACAAAAACAAAGGAAATTCATACAAAAAAGTTTGAGCGGTAACCACATACTAACATTTTAACGCTTGAAAATTGCTACCTCATACGAACTTGCCACATTCGACCTATTAAAGGTGTATTGAATGCGTTCAAAAGGTCGGCATGCTTTTTGGCTCAGAGCAACCAAATACATGATGGGAAGGAAGAGTTTTATTTCGTACAGTAATAAAAAAGTACGAAGCTTGTTTAGGGCAGCCAATGGAACCGTGAAAACATTTATGCAAAAGTAGCCCTCATGTCTGGTAATTCTCCGAAAGCCTTAAAATGCGGTAACTTTATAAAGTAGGTGGTTTTCTTAGTTCTGGTGATGCCTAGGGGAGAAAGGACGGTCAGTTTTTTAGTATATGTTGTAGGTGGTGCTCTTAGTTTAGGTGGTGTCTTAGGCAGCGTTTTTTCATGGAAACTTCTTACATCACACCATATTGTTTTGGAGGGGGGGGGGGGGGGGGGGACTTTGCTCAAGCTTTCATCCAGCACCGCCCGAACAAAGCCTTTGATTTTCGGGGTAACAAAGATAGGGGAAGCACGGTTTCTTGCCCTTTCCACTCTTTCTCCTTTCGTGCGCTCTTTCGACAGCACCTGTTTCTGCTCTCCCATTCCTGTGTGCTGGGTCCGTAGCTCGGTCAACAGCACACTCGGCTTCCACGACGTGACCTTAGTTAGATCGTTGGTACCAGTTAAATTTGTGTTTAAAATCGCTAAGAGGATGCAGTTTGACCGACCTACACATCCTGTTTACGCAGCTTCTGAGGTTGGTTGGTTCTGAAAATCTACAGCTTCAAATTAACAAATCACGTGCCATCCTCCTTTCAGTAAGGTGGTGAAGGTTTAAAATTCCTAGCAGCCGTTGAGTTATGAAATAAATCATCGTGAGAAAATAAATCATAAAGCAGCCGAAAAAACATTTTCTCAAAATATTTTTTTTTCTTGTTCTTCTGAGACCATTCGATATGTGTTCATAGTTTTACACGCTCAATAGGCCTTTTTCAGAGTTTGGCCAGGATCGTAGCGGGCAATCGTTTCCGGTGCGGCTGAACCTAGTGGCGCCACTGCTCTTCAGCTGCAATTTAATGAACATCAGAAAGTATAACATGTCAAGCTCAAATGAAATCGGCATTGTTCTTCAGAAAAAAATATCGCCCTTGTACTTCAGCATTATGGCAAATGCAATGGTCATACAAAATGTGACGCAGCGCCGAGGTATATCGTATTGTAGCGACACGTTTTCTGCCTCAGCGGAAACCCCGGGAACGAGGCACACCGGAACGATATGAAAAAAAATCACGCCATGCTGTGGCTTCCGTGTGAACCGCTCAATAAAAATTAAAAAAAAACACCAGAATAAAAAGTAAAAAGGCGCGCCTGCTTGGCAGAGTTCTATAAAGTCCCCAGTGATAGCTCGTTTTTGCCGCTCTGCTTGATCATGTCGTCTCACCCGCGGTAGTAACTCGTATCTACTCGAGCGAGATTTGAGGCCCAGCTGACGGGAACTAGACAAATGGCGATGTGTGAAAGGGCGTTAACAAATCCGTAGTGCTGGATTTTATGTCGGGCAAATACGGCAGGCCAGCGCCCACTCGGGGTACAGCTATTACACCAATTTCGCGGCAGCGTTAGGCTGGGGCACGAGTTCAATCAGTGAAGATATGGGTTTCAGCCGACAGCTGATGCAGCCTTCGTGTGACGGAGCTTTGTAAAAGAAGTGCTTAAACAAGCAACGGTAAGGTACAAGCCATCTAATGAAATGTAGTTTAATTTATTGGAAAAATTCATCAGAAGCAGATGGGAAGTTGTTGCCTAAAAGAACCATGCAGAGAGGACAGACGGCATTTGCAAAAATACCTTGTTTCAAAGTTTTTTTTTTTTTTTTTTTGCCGTTACGTCGCATTTCGAACTTTGGTGTGTGGAGGGTCGGAGCGGCCATTTTGTCGGCACATCCATGTGTCGGATCGCATGTCTTCCACGCATATGTATGCCTCGCTTACTCGAGACTGCACCATACTCTGACATGACAGCCCTCCCTCTGATTTCCAGTGGGGACATCATCGTCTTCCGAACAATAGGACACCAAAACTTCGCTCCTGATTGACCACTGAGGACTGGTGTCCCGCCAAAGCAAGGGGAAACCAGGGGAAATCGGGGGAAAACGACTTTTTTGGTTGGGCACACTTTGCTAGGGGGCCACGGGCCGTCGCGTAGGAGCTTGGACAGTCCGCCGAGTACATTTGGGAGAACACTTCCGGCTATCCAGGTAGTGAATACTCATTGATCAAATTATTTTGAGGCCGTCAGTTAGCACATATGGACAGTCTCTCTTCCACGGCAGCCGCCAGCCTATAGATGTGTTGTTATGAGGTAATACAATACAATACAATCAACTTTATTTTTCCAGAAGTACTGGAGGGGTCCCCAGACAAAAAGCTGCTAAAAGCAGCTTGACTGGGTCTGGGTCCCCCTTGTACATGGCAGCAGCTCGAACAACAAACATATAAAACACTTTACCATGGTGATAAGAAAAACAAAACAAGGTCACATAACATTGGAGTAGCAGAAGAACAAAATTAGCTATGAATAGTTAAAACAGTAGGTACATAAGTCTTTTTTGCCAATTGTGTAGATGTTTATGTTGTTCGTGGAACATTTATTTAACACGTATGGCACTTTGTAATGCAATGATAGGAGGTTGTAATTTGTGCGGCACCGAGGAAGGAGCCAAGTGTCGACACGGCGTGTGTTTAGATTACTTTCACGCTTCTCAAGTTCAGAAATAAAATACAAAAAATCTATGAGTGTTGGCGATGAGAAACGAAGGGTACAGAGTAAACGATAATTATATACGTGTACTACGGGAAGTATTTTATATCTAGAAAATAATGGTTCTGGATGGTCTGTATATGAGACACCCGCGATAAAACGTAAAACTTTTTTTTGCAATAATAGTATATTTTGAGGGTTTGTCTTAGTTGTCGTAGCCCATACAAGATTACAGTAATTTAAATTGGACTCAAAGAGTGCGTAGTAAAGTTTTCACTTAATACTGATTGGTAGAACATGACGACAGCGGGCAATAATGCCAACAACTCTGGAAAGTTTAGCAATTAGATAGTTAACATGGCAGTCCCACATCATATACTCGGAAAAAAGTACTCCTAAAATTTTATGTTGGCTAACTAATTTAATTTGTGAATCACCAAGTTTGATTTCATTTTAACCAGAACTGGTTTATTAATAGATCTAAATAAAATGGCTTTAGATTTTGGGGTGTTTACATTAAGGCCATTAACTTTGGACCACATGTCAAATTTACTTAAGATATTATTCGCTTTACATAGCAGAACATCAGCACCAGTAGCAGAAATAAAGAGGCTCGTATCATCAGCATAAATGACAAACTGAACTTGGTGATCGATGTTAACAATATCATTTATGTATACATTAAATAGAAGAGGCCCAAGTACGCTTCCTTGCGGCACACCAGCAACAACATTATGAAAGGAAGAGTAATGACCGTCAATTACTACGCACTGTTTCCTATATTGTAGATATGATGTAAGTAAAGCAATGGGTACTCCGCGGACACCATAGTTGCCAAGTTTAGCAAGAAGAATGTGGTGATTAAGAACATCGAACGCTTTACTGAAGTCTATAAATACACCTAACGTAAGAAGCCTTTTTTCAATATTTTGCAATATAAATTCTTTTTGAAGTAATAAAGCGGCTTCAGTGGATTTACCTTGTCGAAAACCAAATTGACAGTCCGATAGTATAGAATGTTTTGTAAAAAACGAATTTAGACGTGCGAGTATAATTTTTTCAAGTGCCTTAGAGAAGATAGGTAACACTGATATAGGCCTGTAATTATTCGGGACGTTCTTATCGCCTCCTTTATATATAGCAGAAACTTTTGCCAACTTCATGTTTGCTGGAAATTGTCCACATGATAATGCCAAATTATATATGTGTGCTAATCATGGGGCGATTATATTTATTACATATTTAGCCGGCTTTATTTGTAATTGATCAACGTCACTAATTTTGCTGTTTTTTAGTCCTAAAAATATAATACATATCTCAATTTCGTCAGTTCGATTTAGAAAAAAAGTATCGTTATTATGCCTCACAAATGAAAGGGCACTAGGATTAAAAGCAGTGGGTTGTTCAACCGAAAAGTGAGTGTTAAAGCATTCCGCCAGACTTTCATCGAACATAACTTGACCGTCTATTTTTAATTCACCCATAGAGGGCGACACCTTTGTACGATTTATGACTTCATTTATTATTTTCCAAACCACATCGGGGCGCTCTCTAGTGACATTATGGAACATATGCTTATAGTATGAAGATTTTGCTTTTCTAAGTTCAGAAGTTAGATTATTCCTAAATTTCTTATAAGATGAGAGCCTGTTTGGGTCCCTCGTTTTTAGGAAACCCGTGTATAGACGGTCTTTTTTATGCATCATTTTAATGTGTACGGCGGTCACCCAGGGTTTCCTTATCTTTTTGTTTACGTTTACGGTTTTTAACGGAAAATGCAAATGATAAAGTTCTTTAAAAACGTCCAGGAAAGTATGATATTATAAACGTTATTACTGTCATTTGCGAGTGGGGTTTGGACTACGTTTGGAAATAACATCTAGCTTCGATTATGACGACTCCGCTTCTTCGATAGTGTGGCGTCGTGGAGTTGGGACTACCGAGGCTTAGGCGGCAGAGAGAGGCCAGCCACAGTATCCGTGCATATTTTCTAGTTCTTCAATAGCCCTTGGCAGTAATCTGTGGCCTTGAACTTTACGTTCTTGAAATTCTGCGTTTTTAATGATTAACATCAAACAATGTCATATCATTTTTGCACAATTCCTCACATTCGCACGCAGGTGATCGCGACGCATTCTCCAACCCTGGATTTGGCAGACCGAGATACCCGTCTGTCTTACATATCTGGTCTTGTGAAGAACGCCAATCTGATTCCAACCACGTGCGAGGTGCTGGAAGAAGATCGCAGGTGGTCTACCGTTGAGGAATATAAAAGTAAGCTTAGAAGGAAGTGCACTTTTTTAAGTTTTGTCTTAACAGGGTATTAGGGCAACCCAACATGCAAAAAGACCAGCCGTCCTGAAGTTTATACCTTACGTACCGTGGGTCAACGCATTGATACATTGAACGCGAGGTTCGCGTTAGCAGTTGGCTGAAACTCGTATTCAATAAGTCAAAATATGACTTCCACCGAAACGCTAAAACAGCACTCGTGTCTGATACGCGTCCTGGGCTGGTGTTTCATGGGTGAGCTCTAAACTTCAGCACTACGGCTTTCTACCAAGGTTGTGTTTGGTAGAGAGAGGTATCGCTGATGTCAAACACGAGGTCCAACAAGTCAAGAGATCCAACGATCCGAAATATTCAATATTGGACCTATTGACTCGTTGAATTTCTTGGCTCGTTGAACCTCTTGACTCACCATAAACCTGTGGACTCGTTTGCCCTTTTGACTCATATATGATTCCTTGACTCGTCCCAAAACGTTGACGAGTCAGGACATTCAAAATTGACCACTCGACGTTTTTTCATTATCAACTGGTTGTGTGGGTTCCCCCCAAAATATTTCAAGACCACATTGGGCCAATCCCTGAAACTCAACGACACGTATGTAACAGAAAAAACTCCAAAGTGTCTCAAACTCGCACAACACATGATAGATTGTTGTGTTTTGCGGACAACTAACTTTCGTAAAAAATTATGGTTACTATGTTTGAATTACAAAAAACAAAAAAGGTTCATAACACAGACGCCAGATTGCTGCTGCTTGAAAACAAAAACTTTCATAACAAAATATGGATACCTATGTTGGAATGAAGAAAAGAGCTCTTAAAGGTGCCATGCAACGATTTTGTACTTTGCGCTAATACCGCTTATAGCTGATCCCTGACGTTAATGAGAAAAACCCGTTCGTTTTTCACACACGCAATTGTAGTCAAAGAAAAAAAATTAAAAAAAGCAAGCAGCGTTCACCCGCTCAACTTGCAGCCCGAACAAGTGGCCACGTGATCTGGAGCCGGTTATATGCCACCAATGTTGCTCATAGCCACACGCTGCGGCTGGCAAGGCGCAGGACACGTGCTGAGTTACAGACATTGTTATGGTTCGGCTATTATCGTTATTGCAGCGATTGGACACGGGTTACTATCCGAACGCTTCCCGAGCTATAGATTAACAAGAGCACTAATCGAGTGCCCTCGGAATGCTCGGGTTCAATTCATGAACCGCATTGAAATATCGTCAGGTGGCGGTACTGCGACCGCCCAGCTACGTCATCAAGTCTTGCGAAGAAGAGTATGAATAAAAACACTCCCTTTTGTCCTTGAAATTACACCGCGACAAAGGAGATTTTTGGCCGTTGGCCTTATGTGCGAGTATCCTTGAGTCCCGTTAGTGCCAGTAAGCTCGTATAAAGTGAAAAACATTCTAACTGAATATCGTTGTACCGCCCCTTTGTCTGAAAACACTGTCGTACAGTAACTCTGTCTTACATCACAAACAATCTCAGATCAAAAAGGGCTGGCAATTAAAGGAAATCTTTGACCGGTTGCTTATTGGCTAGACAACTTAAGTGTCGCCGACATGCCGAAATCCCGGGAGAGCGTTTTTTTTTTTTTTTTTGACCTCACAAACACCGGATATCTTGATTCATTCAATTGCTTGGCATGGCGGATTTCTTGACCATTAAAGAAATTACGGTCAGTGCGCAGGCGAGCTGGTGGTGCTCCAGTCTCGGGTTAATATCATCATGGTAAAATTTTGACCGTAGTGTGTCTCTGCGACTCGTGGATCTTTTGACTTGCCTGGCACGGGACCGTCGGATGTCCCGATTGGTTTGATTTGTTGATTTGTTTTATCACTCTAGCAAAAGCTACCATCAAGCCCCCCCCCCCCCCCCCTTTCCTCTCCCCGCCGCTTCTGATCAACAGATTCATCGTGCGAAGAGATCCAGCGATTCAAGAGGCGTGTGGAAGCCTTATCAAATTATCCGTCGAGTAAAGAGATCTAATATAGATGAATAGGTTCAACAAATCAAGAGGTCGTTCGTGTTAAGAGATCCAACGAATCAAGACATCCGACTAATCAAGAGATCCAACGAGTCAAACAATTTATGGCAGGTTAAAAGTTAAACCACAGCGAATTTTGTTTACCAGAGACGATTCCAGTGTTGGACAGGACTGATAAGTGAGATTAATTTATTTTCACTTGAGCTTAATTTACACCTTTGAACAAAAAAAAAAACATTTGCTGAAGAAAGTTGTTTCGAGTGATTAGTCGCGGTTGTTGTATTGCAACACAGGAGGTAACCGAGAATATCGATCAAATGATTTTTGCCTTTTTATGCGTCTGTTTTGAAGACACTGTATTTTCTACTTCTTCGGCAAGTTTCGAGATAAATTCGTGTTTCACGTGTTACGAACGGTTCGTTCAGTTTCAAAGACTGTGCAGACATATTTTGAAATATTTTTAGAAAGTATATATCGGCAGTTTTTCATGCGGGGTAGAGAAGTTGACAGGCTGGTATTAGATCTCCTGGGTCGTTCGACCACTTAACTGGTTAGAAATGAGTCTAGAGGTTTAATGTAGTCAAGACGTGCAAGAACCAACATTTCAACGGGTCAAGGAATTAAACATTGGATATTTCGACTCATCGGACCCTCCATATAGAATCCTTCCCTCCAGGACATCTTCTGAACGTTTTTGACGCCACTGCTTTTCATAGTGCCTCCTCTCAGTTTTTTATGCCTACAGGCCCTCTACTTGTACTCGTCATATCGGGATCCCCTGGTGTTTGCATTAACGATAATTATAATATATTCACCGCAGGTGTGAGAACCACGGGGCGTGTCGAGTCGAGAGCGTTTTATTATCGTTCCGTATTCAATGAGACTGCGGTACTAGTCGATGAGAACAAGAAACAAAGATTTATGAAAAAAAGAACCGTGACGATAGATTAAAGCAACGCACTGCTGTTGGGGGCTACGGTAGGTGAGCCTTTTTCAAACGAGCGCCGGAACAGACTTTCTGATACTCATTTCCGGCTAGTAACTGTAAAAACGTATTTTTATTCTTATTTTCAGGAGCGCATATGGGACTGATTAGACTATCCAACCTTGTGACAGAAGAAGAGAAGCCTCTCCTCCTCAAGGACGTCGCCGAGGAAGGAGCCAAGTTGTTCGCCGAGAAAGAGGCCGGTAGTTCACCGTTCCGCAACACCCAGTTCCTGGTGCGCGCCCGCAAACCTCGACCCTAAGCTTGGCGCGCCCCTCTCTCCTACGTTGCAACGATTCACAGTACCGACATCACATATTGATCTGCACACCCCAACCCTATTTAATGAGATGCAGCTGAGCTAAGCCAAGGAAAGAAGTAGTAACGCGTTTTCAGGGAAATAAAGAGCAAAGCGTGAAACATAATCTTTGATTGGACCACGCTGCAAAGGATTTAACAATAAAGGGCTCTGGGGCAGGGTGACTTTCTTTTTTGTCTTAGTGACGTTAAGTGATGGGAGCAAACCCGATGCTAGGCGAACACCCGATGCGAACAACAAATCGTTCGCTTGTTGCGCAAGAGTTGCGGTGACTTCAGAAAGACGACGAGTTCTTATCGGCTCTGATTCAGAGATAGTGGGTAGACCTCAAAGCAAGCTGCCTTGAGGTCTACCCACAATCTTTAATTCAAAAACAATCAGAGCTTGGCATCTTTCTCGCGTTACCACAACCCCTTCAAAAGAAGCAGACGAAGTTGCGGTCCGCCTCGCTTCCAGTCAAGTGGTTCGCAGAATTTTACCTCTAAGTGTTCTGACACTACTGAAACCATGGTTGCAATTCCGCCGCTTTTCCGGGAACCGACAATTCTCTTCAACATCAATTTCCGCAAACAATGAAATCAAGCAAGATCAAACTAACTATTTGAATTTGGAAGCTATACTCTTTCTCACACCCAGTTCGACCGCAGTCAATTCTGCGATCCAATGTCAGGCACTTGAGCTGCGCCAAAGGTGCATCGTCATAAAGCTCGTAGGCTTTGTGCATTTACTCCCGCAGAATGAACCAAACCCGCACAATGAATGATCCCCCGATTGGTTTAGCCGGTGATATCAAACGCCGAACCAACGATGAGCGTCATGACGTTGCACTTTTGGTGCTGCGTTATTGGCTCCATTTGATCGTAGCGAAGGTTGCAATCGGACATAAAGTGAAACGGAGCGTATAGGACTACGGCAGCCCCGCTACAAAAACATGCACCCGTGCAAAGTTACAGTGCTTGGGACTTTGCGCGACGTTGGGAGTTGTAATTTGTGGGAGCGAGGGTCTGCCACCACGCTTAGAGACCGCTGCCGAAAGCCCAAAGCGGAAAACGTTCGAGGCGCCCGACAGCGTATGAGAAATAGGCACGAGAGCATATAAAATAGGGGGTCTGCCTTCCCACAGAAGGGGGAAGACGGCCCGAGGGCACGGAGACACGTCGGTCAAACGCTGCGGCACTGTTATACTTTAAATACTAACAACCCATTCCTGTTACTCTCATAAAAATAGTTTCTTGTTATGTAAACCCCGTCATTCGTGTTGTTCCTCGCGGATGGGCATGCAGCAAGGCAATCCTCCCACATGACGCCCAGCGTACTTTTGCTGCCCTTCTGTCGGAGCGACACGGGGCTGGGTTTCTTTTCTCGGTAAGTTTTTTTTTTTTTCAACTGCGGTGTTTCTTTTCGAAGCAGTGCTTGTATTCGCGACAGCGCGATTGCTCGTAGAATTGCAGCCTCAAAGCATTGCTTAGTCACGCGGGTGACGCGGATGACAGTTTGGGGGCGTGTTTATCTTTCTCGAGTCGAGTTACCGTCTGTCGCCACACACGTTTTTCTTGGCTGCTTGGCGTTTCTGTTTTTTCCCACCATGTCTCCCACACTACGGTCCGAGACGAAGGATGGCGAAAAGCCTGAAGCAAGCGTGGATCCCGGAGCAGGCTCGGCGGATGCGCAAGCCGAATTGCCACTGAAAGTGGCAGCCATGTGTGATGCGGTCACGCAGCGTCTCCATAGAGCAATATAGTAAACGTAAAGAGATTACACAGAGACCAATTCGCGGCCCAGATAGTGCGTTTAATGCCATCCGCTACGTGGCGCTTTTCTGTAATATGGTTAAAATTAGAACTCTTTATATGAGAAATATTCATTTTTGAGATTGTTAAGCTTTAGAAATATCTGAAGTACTTAAAACGACTAAATAGTTTTAATCTAATACGTCACAAAAACCACGTGATGAATGGCGCCAGCCATGGCCTGCCGTGGGCCTGCCCGCCTGCTTGCCCGCATGCCGTCGCCTCAGCATCATTCTGCATGGTCTCTGCTCGTCCGTGCATCGTTCGTCCGTGCCGTGCGTGCCGTCCGCCTGTGCTTTCTGCTGCAGCATTTTCGGTCGACTTCACATCAAACAAGGTGACGCGCGACTGCCCGCGTGCTCGAATGCTCGGCGTGAATTTGTGGAACCGAGCGGCGTGAGCTTCTCGCGCTGTTGTTTCCGTCGGACTGTCGGGCTGAAATCGTATGAGCACCTTGATTTTCGATGAGATTTCTTTGGAAAAGGACTTGATTTATGACCCTGCGAACGACATTGTCCATGGATTTACAGATGACGGTGTTGAACGGTGCTGCAAAGAGCGCTTTCATTGTTGTGCACTCTGGAATTTCCAGGAGGTGGGTTCAGCCCCTTGCATACACTGTTGGGCACACTTCAACCACTTCAACACTGTCTTCTGTTATCCGCAGTCTCCTCATTTTTCTCATTGCAGGAGCTTAATACTGTTGGTTTCACAGTAAAAGCTTTGGTCTGCGATCAGGGGGCTTCAAACGTAAGCTTAGCCAACTAACTGTGTCTGTGGGTAAGCAATTTTTTGAAGTTGACAACGAAAATGTTTACTTCATCTTTGATGTTCTGCACCTCATCAAAACAACCAGGAACAATCTCTAAGCACGCATATTTTGCATTGGAAATGAGGTCCTTGAGTCGTCCCATATTGTTAAACTTTATCATTCTACCCATGAAATGAGGTTGCGATTGGCTCCGAAACTTACTGACACATTTTTCAAAACCCTTTCAGTAACATGAAAGTAAAACGTGCCGCAAAGGTAATGAGTGCCTCATTCTGTCTTGCAATCCTATCCCTTGTTTATGTCAAGAAGCTTCTCGAGGCAGCCATTGCTATAGCCTATTTCTGCAATAGGATGGACATACTTTTTAAATAGCTCGCAAATGAAGAAGACAGGGCAGATGTTCCGTCGTGCCGTTCTGAAAGGAGAATCTGAGGTACTCAATCGCCTTCACCTGCAACTCGGATTGATTTCAGCATGGAAGTTCCGCAGTAGGAGGCAGCCACAAACCCTCATAGGGTGGCAAGTTACTATAAAGAGTGTCGTCATGCTCTGGGAGGGGATTTCAAACAGCCATAATATTAAGTTCTTACTTATACAACACCCGCAGCAAGATCCACTGGAAAACATTTTTGGAGCTATATGAAAATGCTGGGCTGCAATACAAACCCAAAGGTGTATCAGTTCACCTCAGGACTAAAACACAAAAGGATAAAGAAACTGTTCAAACTGTCGAACAATGGAAGCGTATAGGATGACAAGGCTGACCTCCTCAAGGAGTTGCCAATATCTTTGCACCATAGCAGTTCAATTTCAGACAATGTGGAATGTCTTTTAATTGATAACTTCTCGCCACTAGAGGATATTTCTGAGCTGACATCAGACATCAGGTCTAACATAATTCATGACTCGTCCACTTATTACGCTGGGAGCTATTAGATCAAGCATTTCCTTGAACTGACAACCCACAGTTGTGGCTGTTCTCAGCTGCCGAGGGAAGAGTCTGACAGCTTGACCAGGCTTACCTAGAAAACTGTTCGGGAATCTAGTAGGTCATCCCAGGCTGCCTTTAATTTTATTCAGCAGCTCGTAAATCGCTTTCTTGCCATAATGTCGTAATAACGAGTATGGCGCATGTTCGAGGAGTGTGTGCTGTCTTGTATCACACACTTTCAGGTCTGGGTAGTTTTAGCTTTGCTCAGAATGCCACAAATGGTTTTTAAAAATGTTTTGCAGAATTGGCATGTTCGATTTCTTAACCGGAACTTGGACAAAGTTTGATTACACTCTTCAGTGCCTGTAAAGCAACTAGACAAGTTTAATTGTTGATAGTGTACTAACGGAGGTGGTTGCCAAATCAAAAACAGAAAGTGATTATTAATTTAGCGGTGCAGCTTGCACTCCAAACATTTGTTTTCCTTATTTCCAGCAATTGTGTATCACGGCCCTTTTGCAAATGTATTTATCCACTTTCTACAGAATGTCTATAGAAAATAGTGTACAGAGGCTATTAGCGATGTGCGCGGCCAAAAGCGTCGCTGTGGTCAGCTTTCCACGATTGGCCAAACCATGGGTATATGAGCACGGTCAGATTGGTCAACTTTGGCGGTGTAAGTTTCGAATTGCGATGGCTCCTAGCTTCCACTGTGCTTTTTAAACACACCATCGAACTCGTCGTCCGTACCCGATGGTAAGTAGCCAGAATAACTGGTGACGTCACGGCGAGGCAAATCCCAGTCGTGACGTCACGGAGGGAAACCATAAGAGGGCGCCACCGAAACATCTCGGCGCTAATAGATGTTACAAAGAAAATGTATCCACTTTTGTATCCACTCTCAATATTTTTTACACGCTTTTTTAAACCATACTTCCATTCTGATGAAATGTATTTCGGGGAATGTTTAGGGACGTTGAATCTTGTCAGACTCTGATTAGAGTTCTCATTGTTTGGTAATGGCTCGCCCGCAGTGTGTTTCAGACTATGTCAATTCGTATGATTTATATTTGCCGGAAATTGGGAATTTGCACTCTTCGCTGTGTGCTTTGCACTCTTATTATACTCTTATGACAGAACATAATAGCGATTTTTTTTTATTTCTGCACTTACTTCCCGTGCCCGCGTCGGCGTGAAAGCGAATGGATTCTTCAGCATGTTCCCTGTGGATGTTTTTTTTTCTTTATTTGTTTTGCGGATTTCAATCATCCGCAGAGGGGGCAGAGATAAAGGCATGATGCCTGACAGCGCCTCTGCCCCCTGACTTGGTTCCGCTAAATATCTATTATGAAGTGTACGATATGCCGAACTCCTTCATGTTCATTTATTTTTGTGAGTACTAGTATCTGCTTTTTATAAAACGTACAGAGCGTCTGAAGTAAATAGTGTA